AAGGGACAAGAAGACAGCTCTCTGCAAGCCAGAAGAGGGTTCTCACCAGAATCTGACCATGCTGACACCTTCACCTAGACTTCCATCCTCTAGAACTCTGAGAAATAAATTCTTGTTGTATATAAGCACCCAGTCTATGGTACCTTGTTACAGCAGCCCCCACTGACTAAGGCATAGGAGTTAGAGGGGAAAAGAGTTCTAGAAGCAAGAAGGCAATGAAAGCCTGGGCAGGAGAGAACAAGGAGGCATTTGTTTACGGAGAGTTGGTCTTTGTATCCATGAAGTCATTCCAATTAGCTAATGTGAAATGCGGGGGACACACCTCTGTCTATACATAGAGCCTGTCAATACAGATACATATACGTTTCTCTCCTAGCCTTACAAAGCCTGCCAAGTGCTTCTAAATACTTGAGAAGAAAGTCTCACTAAATGACAATAATTGATTCTCACGGGAATCTACAAGAGAATTCTAAGAAACACTCAGAAATGCAGAAACACAGAAGTCAGATTCAGTTCTGGAAAGATCTGGAGCTTCTGGGAGAAGACTTGGATTTGAATGCAGGCTTTCCCACTTATAACTGAAAGACCTTACTCAAGTTACCTTACCGTTCTGTTTCTTCTGTTCTATTTATTCACTAGTAAAATTGACCCCATAACGACAACCACAGAGACATGCTGTGAAGATCAGATGAAATACTGTATCTTAATAGGGCTTAAATGCCCTATTAACACATGTCCTATTGGCACTTAACAGATACCCGCAGCAGACTGCAGGGCCAGTGCCATCTACTATTATGTGCTATACTACATTACAGTTACCAATTCTGTATCCAATTTTCCCATAAGATAACAAGCTAGTAGAGGACAGGACTCACGTGATGACACTCTTGCCCGGCCCAGAGTAATAATGAGTGAAAGAATGAATGAAGGAAGGGAGGGATGAAATCACTCTCGCCATAACATGTACAGCACTGTGTATACTGCAAGCTCTTCCCACACAGACGGACTGTCTTCCCAAGGCTAGCCCCAGGCTGACAGGCCGAGGCAACAAGGAAGAAGGCAGACGGGCACTCACAATGCACAAACCCCAAAATTCCCAAAGTACAAAGCAGCTTGCTACATTGTGACCCTGTGGCTCAAGTTCATAAATTTAAACTCTGGGTTCACATAATTCAAAGGGAACCTCCGACCTCAGGTGATTATCCCAGAAAGCCAATGCCCCCACAGGGTTGGCTTAGAAGCTTATCTTAGCCTGCCTTCCCCAACTTCCATGCCAATAAAAGTGACTTCAAGTAACACAGAACAGGGGGCTTGGAGAGAGGGAAGGCCAAGGTCCAGTTGGAAATAAGCTTCAGCATCTGGATGCAGTGACTGCAAGGGTTGCTGTTCTGTGGAAATAGTCTGGGCTAAAAGCAATGTGTTTTTCACAACTGTTCTGGAGAGAGTATTGAGAAGCACGAGACAGTCTTTGATGGGTGCTTGACTGATGCAACTCACATCAATCATCAGTGGGGTGCGGGTATGTGCTTTTCTAAGAGGAAATAAATATAAGAGGCACAAGCTTGAAACAAGTGAAAAATGAGTCCACATCTCAGTCAGATGAAACAGCAAGGGTTCCAGAGCCAGAAAAGATCCTATCCTATTTTTTCTTCATCCTGAAATTAACCAGATGGACTTTTTTTTTCAGTACCAATCTAGCCACATGCTTGGAATGAACTTGCTCTGTGATGGAAGATCTGTATTTAATTGTACAAATGAGACAAAGTATCTATTTTTCAAATGTAGAGTTTAGATCATTTTTGTTTTTCTAAACTCTTCTTTTCCTTCCTTTGCTTCTCTTTTCCTCTCCTTTCTCCTCTCTTCTACTTTAGAGGGGGTATTTATGACTGCGTGTTTAGAATATACTAGGGACAACGAAATAATGAAACAGACACTTTCACACATGGCATATGAGAGATGATGTGCATATGAAACAAAACATCAAAGATGTCACTTCCTCTTATAGTGTCTTAGATGACAACAAAGTGCTGTAAAACGAGAGATCAGAATTCACAAAAGAATAAATGAGAATAAGGAAAGGTGGACTGCAAGGGAACCACGGAAAGGCCATCGTTAGAACATCAGTAATCTCTCCAGGCTGGCTTACTACTCTGAGTTTCAGCTCCTCATATGTAAAATATGGACTAACTATTCCTATCTCATAGGGGTTTTGAGAGAAGGAAAGAAGGTAATATATGAAAAGCTCTTAGAACGAAGTTTGGGAAATGAGCCTTCAAAATAAATATTAGTTATTGTGATTATTATGAATATCATTCAAGGATTAACATTACATATATAAATCCTTCCCACAGATTAATAACACACTCACTACGGTGCAATTGTTGTTATTATTATTACCATCATTACTTAACCGTTATTCATATTTTATCTCTTTCATTTACAGGTGGTTTCTGTCTCTTTGCTTGGACTCTCTGGTCTGATACTTTAGTGGACAGTCCGTTTGGTGCCTGATTCAAATTTTGCCCCATTATGCTAGCTTGTATATTTCCTAAGATTTCACTCTCTTTAAGCCATGAGTCAATCATGCCTTATCCATGTGTTCAAGGCAACTACGTATGTAGAACTGCCCAAAGTGGAACTCCAAATGCAGCTTGATCGGTTGGTGGTGCACAATCAACTAGCTAGCTAAAGGCCAACAATTTCCATGACTCCTATGAAAAACCGTCCTGGACTATTATGGAGTGAGATAGTTTGTTTCTTTGTTTTTTCAATGGTAAAAAGAGTAACCAATTCTTCTCTACAATATCATAACTTTTGGGCAAGGATGGCTTATATACATAACAACAGAGCAATCTTTGAGCTAAATACTGAGAAAAGCATTCGCAGACAGGCACAGATGATCAATTTTCATAGTAAGTCCCCCAAAACCTGTTCATGGACAGCTTCATGGACAATGCATCCGGCCCAAAAACTTGGTTTACTGGATCACTATCCTTGTTAAAAAGAAAAAAAAAAAGGCCTCTGGGTTGTGTCACCTATGAGTTCTGGGACTGCTAAGGGGGCTTACACCATGATGTGGAGTTGAAAAGGGCCATATCTCAGCGATAGGTTTTCAATGTGTCACAGAAAGGAAATGGAAATTTAAATCAAAAGCTGTATAAATACACAGCAGTAGTTTAAATAGGAGAATATAAAGCTGCAGTCTCAATGTGCCTTAGGCATACAGTGATGTCTTGCTTCCCCACATTTCTAGCACTAGTTATTAAGACCAATCAGATGTTAATTATTTTATATTCACTGAGTTTCCTTACCAGGCAATGAGCTCCTTAAAACCTGGGACTGATGGAGGTTGAACTCATTTAATTCACCTCTGCAGCCTGTCACAAGAACAAGGGCAGAGGACGTGCTCTTTGAAGCCAGCCATCCACCTATGCTTCCACTGACTTTAAAAGAGAATTTGAGGTGGCTAAGTATAAAATTGCAATATACTGAAAAATGGAAACTAATGGTTATTTGCTTCCCCATCCAGCTGTGGATCAGATCACTCTTAATTTGACTGAACATTTTGAAGAGTTGGTTGGGGAATCAGACCATAAACAGATGATTTCAATATAACATAGTAAATGTGAGGTTGGTTGACTGAAGCTAAGTCTCATTTTCTCTTGCTTTCCACATCTAATCCCTCTGGGGCCAGCTCATCTCCTGATCTGAATTCCCAGTTATCATTGCCCCTGTCCCCGTTCAAGCCCTCGTGGCTTTTTGTCTCTGGACTAACCTGCTAAGTTTAGTCTCCCTGTCTCTGGCCACATGCTCTCAGGCTTTCTTCCCCAGTGCTCCTAGCCAGAGTTTTTGCAACTGAGATCTGAACATTCCTGTCCATGTTTCCAACCTTTCGCTGTTTCCCCTTGGTTTTGGTCTACTAGATAAAGTTCACTTCCTTCGCATGCTTTACAGGGAATTCTTATGATGTGGTCCTTGCCTAACTCTCTTTTTATGGTAAGTGATTCTTCTAAGACAAGTTTATACCACCACTGAAATTCCAGACTATTTTCAATTACCTTCAGATATGCCTTGTTATTTCCACTCCCATGTCCTTGTTCCTATGCCAGTTCTATGCCTAGAAGAGTATTTTTACCCTTCTTTGCCTCGTTTGTTCTCGTTTATCTTACAAGGCTCAGCATAAATGCCTTCTTCCCTGCAAGGAGCTTCTTTACCCTGCTTTGTGCCAGCTCTGTGCCTTGTACCTCTGCCACAGTGCTCAGCTCACTTCCATGGACATTCTGTCTTCCCTAGTAGACAACTGCAGGCATTCAACAAATTTTTAGCAAGCACCTTCTAAGAACTGAGCTGGATACAAAGAGAAGCATCTCTGCCTTTAAGGGGCTCACAGATTTCTGGAAAAGACAGATCGGTAAACCAGTAAGAAAAACAGTATTATAAGAAGTAGAGTTGTGTCTTAAAAGACAAAATTATCAAGATGGTAAAGAACCCTCTGAGCAGGGAGACAGGCCTAAACAAAGGCACAGAGGAGTGGAAAAATCGAAGTCCTGGGGAAGCTGTGAGTAAGGCAATTGGGCCTTGGCGACAAGTACACGTGTGGAACTGGAGGGGATACACCGCAAAGAAAATGATGTGCACAGGAAACTCTCTGAACTACGCCCCAAGGGCTATGGGGAACCACCGAAGAATTTGGGCTGGAGAGTGGCATGGTCCTTTAACAAAGTGCATTATCTCTCTCACTGCCATGAGAAAAATGGGTGGTCGTGTGAAAGAGAGATGGGAAGTGCGTTGGTCATCATTGCCTAGGCTGCCATCGATTCCCTTGGCAAGCACGTGCTGTGTGCACTCTGAATGTTAGACTGTACGCTAAGAGAACGTTAATTCTTCTGATTTAGGATTTGGCAAACCTTTCGGATTCTTGGTGTATGGATATTGTGACAAAATGAGCTAGTCATAGGTGTAAACACATTAAAGACTGTAATGAAAAAGCGTCAGCTTACCAGTTTCCCAGTGACACTCTGTCCACCTTCATTCAGCCAGAACCCAGGAACCATGGCTGAGAAATAAGGGCCCCAGACGCCTGGTACAAAAATCGGGTCTTTGCTAATCTGGAAAGGAAGGGACAAAATATGTGAAAATATTGACCTTCAGGACTGGAAGGAGCCTTCTCCTTCTCCTATCTGGTGTTTCTACAACTATGGAATTCAGCTTCTTATTACATACCTCTTAGGTGCGGTAGCCACTCCTTCCAAAGGAAGGACATGGCTTCATCTTTGGAAACCTTTCTGATAAATTCCTTTAGATGCTGGGATAGCCAAAGAAATCATTTTGGAAAGAAACTAATGGCACATTTCCTCACTGGCTCTCTCTCTGTGGCAGACTGATTACAAAAATGGTCCCCATTTTTTACCCATCCATGTACCCACCCTCTTTGCAGTGTGACCTTGCAGCTCCTCTCATGGATCTTGAATCAGAGCCAGCCTGATCATTTATTTTGGCCAACAGAATGAGGTAGAGGGGACCCTGTGCCAGTTTTCCAGGCCTGCTCCTCGAGGCCTGTGCACTTCTCTACTCTTCCACTTGCTCCTCTGCCTCTGCCATGAGAGCATGCCCAGGCCAGCCTGCTGCGTGGAAAGTCATGCAACAGAGCTGCGTCAGGCCAGCTGCTGCAGGTGATGCTCACATGCATGAGAGACTAAAAACAACATCAGCGAATCCTCCTAGTCACCCAGCAGCTAACAAGACCATATCACTGGAATCATGCAGCCATCTGATAGGTTTGTGAACCACAACACATCTTATTGTATGTCACTAAGATGCTGTTTGTCTGTTACCTAGCATTTTTGTGGTAGTAGATAACTGATACATTCCCTTCTTTCTGCCTACATTTACTAGTCACTCTATGGGTCCATCTCCCCCTCTTGGGCGCTGGAGACACAGAAGTGAATCAGAGTTATTTCTTGTCCTCAAGAAACTGCCCATCTAGAGAGAGCTCCAGAAGTAGACAGACAGACTACAGAGTGGTCTGTGGATGGTAGAGACGAACATACATTGTTGGGGGACACAGGGAGTGAGGGGGGAAATCGTCTGGAGGTGGCTACTTAGAGAACGGGGCATAAGCTTAGACTTACAGGATTTCACCAGGTAAAGAAGAACAGGCATTTCAGGTCAAGAAAAGGGCTGGAGCAAAGCCATGCAGGTGAGGTGCACTGCATAGTCAAGACACCACCATTTTTTTTTTTTTTTTTTTTTTTTTTTTTGGAGCTGACCATGGAAGTCCTTGCAGGCGTTAGGAAATTATATAAAGAGGTAAGCCAGGAAAGACAAGCAGGGACCCTGTGTTCCCTCCTCTGCATTGGCACATGCTTCTCCTCCATCCATCAGGGATGGACGCTAAAGTCATATTTATGTTTGTGGAAAGGTGTAATTCGAGGGTGGGGGATTGAAGGGAATTAGGTACAGCAGGTCCACTCCTGCATGTTTTGAGGCTGGACAGAGAATCAGTCATTCATTTGTTCTACAATATTTATTTAGTCCTTCTCACATGTCTGATCCTATACCAGGTCATGGCGACACAGAAATGAACTAAATGTGCATAATTCCTGCCCCCGTAAAATTTATAGTCCAGCATTTCAGCGCAGAGACAAACCTTGTTTAAATGTCTTGATCCCAACTATTTCAGTTCTCTTTTCACTAAACGATGAGCCCTCAAATCAGAAGGATTTCCAACTCCCAAACAGCAAGGAGGTTAGGGAAGACAAGAACTACACAACACTGTCAACTTTAAATGTTGCCAAATGAAAAGAATTTATGAAAAAGGGACATCCCACACTTCAAATAGAAAAAATAATCTCAGGGAAAAAAGACAGGCTTGTACAAGAAAGGACAGTTCAGCTTACATTGACATATTCACTCCTTTTCTTACTGGTTCAAAGGATGTTTCCTGAACTCCTGTTGTGATCCAAGTCTATGCCAAGCACTAGGAATAAACGATGAAAGAGCAAGTCCTGAGCCCTCCTGGAGCCTGCAGGCCTGAGACAGGGGGTGACTAGGTGAGCAACCATTTAGGCTTGGCCAGGGTTCTCGGAGGCTTAGCAGTGAAGGTGCTGCGTCCTGGAAAAGCCTTCAGTCCTGGGCAAATTAGGACATTTGATTGGTCATCCTGAGACAAATACTGGTAAAATCATCATGCAAATGTGTGATTACAAACCACGATAAGGAAATGAAGGAAAATCAAAAGCTGCTATAAGAGCATGTAAGGGAGGTATGTAATTTAGGGGTCAGGGAAGGCTTTTATAAGAAGATGATGCAAAACATACAGAGAAATTATTCATATGGGTGTCAGGGTATGTGTGTGCATTTGTGTATGAGTGTGTGTGATATGCAGTGTTCCAGCCAGAGGGAACACTTAATGGGCTTCATTTTTTACCACTTTATCTTCACCAGTAAAAATTTTACCATATGCCAACACTAGAAAGTACTCCCTAAACTGCTTTGGGGTGGGTAACAGCTGGTTTAGGGTGAATAAGACAGTCTATATTCATAGCCACGTAGGACCCAGGCTTTGAAAGGACAGGTAGATGGACGCCCACCAAAATAAATTTGTCTCTTTTTTATGCCCTGCACCCCTTCCCTTCCAGAACTCTTAGCCCCATTTGATAGATCTGTCTTGGGGAGGCTGAATAAGTTGTCCACGGTCACACAGTTAGTAACTGGCCGAGGTGGGATTTTAACCCAGACAGATGTTGGCCTCAAATCCTGTTATGTGTATATTTTTATAATTGTACAAATAAATTGTTTAGAAAGGTCAGGCATTGTTCCCCTGCCAAGTCCCACAATTTAGGCACGTTCCTGATTCAGCTGTAGTGGAACTTCATTAGAATATTGCAGTTCTATTGCTCAGAAATGTCAGGTGGAGGCTCTGCCTGGCTCTGTCCAGGGAGAAAGTTTTGAGTTGACTCCTGTCTATGCTCAGCCATGTGGAATGACACATACTTCTCATCAGATGTCCTGAGCAAAGCAAGGAAACAAAGACACAGTGATGTTTCCCCAGCACTTCCACACACTCCCAAACCCCGTGGCTCTTGGAGAAAACGAGCAACCGTTTGTTTTGAGGGAGAGAGAAAGAGAAAGCACATTTGTATATTTATCCTTTGCAGTAAACCTAAATACTTAAAAATATTTTTGTGAAGGCTGTTTCCATGCTGATGGCTATCTTGGCCTGGAGGCTGCTCTCTAAGTCAAGAGGAGAGAGTTCATTTTACTCCGCTGATGACAGGTGTCCTTATAGGACTCCGACTTCCTAGTAATAATGGTGCTGTTGGCAACAGCAGCAGCTAAGATTGACTGGGTACTTACTAAAGGCCTTATTATAAGCGCATTACAGGAATTAAATCACTTAATCCTCATAAAAATCCCAAGGAAAGGTTCCATCGTTATTCCTATTATACAGAAGTGTAAACTGAGACAGAGAGTTAAATAAGATGCCCAAGGTCATAACAACACAAAGCAAGAAGCCATCATACTCTACAGGTTCCATTTGCAGCTCTGCTTTTCAAAATATGGCCACGTCTTTAGGCTGCCATTTGAATCCTTCATTTGCTTTTCAAATGGCAGAAAAAGCAAGAGCCATTAGAACCAACACAGACTCACTCGAACTGAACAAACCTGACCTTGCACACAAATAGGTTAGGGAATCGTCATTTCCAAAAGGCTTTGCTAAGTTTTCCCTGACAGAGTTGTGAAGAACAAAGAAGAGAGCAGGAAGGAGTCAAAGTCTTATCTTGATTCTACTCCCAATTGCCATTCTTCCCAGGGGATCTTGCACCAGGCAATTATTCTGGGCCTCAGTTTCCTCAGTTCCAAAATGGGAGGAATGATATGAATGTTGGAGGACTTTTGTAAAGATTAAATAAGCTGGCACATAGAAACAGCATTTAATTTGTGTTAATACCAAATAAACCTTATGTCTCCTTGAAATGAGGCCTGTATAATGGAACAGTCAGGGGACTGGGTTGAATGACCACAAACATAACTGCAACCATGTTAGAAGGTCTCTAGGTTAATCCTTGGTCTACTGAGTCCGTATTCTTAATAGCAAAGTAGGAGAGGACATAGAAGCAAAGCTTATCATATTTTCAGATGATATAAACTTGGAGGATTATTTATTTTGGAGATGTTCAAATCAAGATTCAAAATTGCTTCAAAGAGTTAGACCATTAAGCAAAATACAACAAAAAGATAGTTAACATGTATAGTTAAAGTTTGTACTTAAAAGGTAGTGGCAATATTCTCTTTCATAATATCTTTTTTCACGGGTGTTCGTACATGGGTATTCAATTTAGTATTGTTTAAATTGTATGCAGAAATTTGATATATCCTCATTATGTGTAATATAAAGAAAGCTATAGAAAGTCACAAAGAAACAAAACATTTGCCTGTACACTAGATGCCAGGCACTGGGATCAGCAACAAGGCTGTAAAAGTAGTAAGGCAAAATGATAATAATTAATAATAATAATAATAATAATAATAGTATGACATGGCCCTTTTCCTCAAGGAGCTACTAGTCTGACCAGGCAGACATAAAAATTATGACAAAATATGCTAAGTGTTAGGTAAGGTGGGAGAGGACTCTGGTAGGAGCCCACGCTGCCTGGGGAGAGCAAGCCCTTCCCAGGGGCAGCCACCCTGGAGCTGGACCTTGAAGGAGGAACAAGTGTTTCCTTAGGTAGGGAAGGAGGGGCATGCCTGGCGGGAAGGGCCGTGTGGGCAAGGCTCAGAGTCGTGAGGCTGAAGAGGCATCTTGATTTTCAAGAGGGCTTAGGGTTCTGCAATTAACTTTAAATAAAAAAATAACAATATGGTTTGGAGGATGGATATATTTTTGCATCAGCATACCTTACTGCTTGTCCAAAAATCAATTTTTGAAAAGCTGTGGCTGAGAAAAGCCTCAGTGAAACACTCTCTATGTCAGTCAATAATAATATGGAAATAAGAATAATAAGAAATAAAATAGTAATTGCGAAAGTTATTGCAGGCTTATTATTCTGCCAAAGAAGCTTCTAGGCTCTTTAGAGACACTGTCACATTTACTACTCATGACAAC